GTATGCTACACCTCTGGCAAGGGCTTTGGTTTTTATCAAAACTTTTCATACCCTGAAACCGCAGAAAAAGAATCTAATATATAATATTAATTAATAAATTTAATATAAACCTCTGAAAATTTTTTAAAATAATAATTGCGAACAAGAAATTTGAAAAAATACTAGAATGTACATCGATATATTATAGTATCTACACTTCTGATTTTTATCAGAATTTTCTATACACTAGTCTCCGAGAAATAAAAACAAAAAGCTGATAACGAGCTCGCGGGAGCGGAAGCGCGGGCCGCTGCGTGTAACGCGGGCAATTGGCAGGAGGTATTTCTTAATATCGAGCCGGTCGGAAAAGAATGTGGAAGTGACATCCGCGCGATGCGGCGGCCAGCGCGGTGCCGAGAGGGCGCGGTTTCCATGGGGCAGCGGGGCAGTAGCCCGAAACAAAAGCTCCTCAAATTCTTTCAACCACAGCTACCCGCCGATAGTTAACCATCTTCAGGTTTCTTCAGGCTGTCACTATTTTAGGTCGCACGTAGAGCTGCTATGAAAAATCCCTCACGCGAGTAGTAGTGGAGACTAATACTTGGTGGGGGTATTCTAGGCATGGTCAGTAATTTTTAAGATCACTAAGTTTGTTTTGGCTGTACCTCTCGTCAAGTTAGCAACGACATCAAATACATTTTTATAAAATAATCATCGGTTAATTGCATGGTTAATTATAATTATTAGGGTTAGCGCTTAGGTTAGACCACGATTTTATAATCTTTAAGACCATGGGTTAGATTGTCACTGTCAGAATGAAAATCGGAAGTTATTAGGACTAAATACTATGGAAATCGCATTGCGGAGAGCATGACAAAAGCGCAAGAGGGGAATAGTAGTGGGGAGAGAGAAAAGAAGGGAAATCATCGTGAGGGATTTCTCATAGCAGCTCTGGTCGCACGCGCTTATTCAGGTTATTATTTAGGTTTCGTTGGTATAACTGGAAAACGAGGGACAGTTCATGGCGGGATTGTCGACAATGGGGAAGACTTTTTAAGGACTTTTTCTAGTACGTGGAAAATTTTGAAAAAGGTTTAAAATGTTGATACGAGCTTAGGACAATGATTCCTGACCAGCTCCGACTTGTGTTAACGTCCCTCTAGGGAGACAAAAAAGTAACAAGTCTGTTTTGTTTTTTTCAATGCTCGATTTGGCATTGATGATGCTAAATTTTGACATAATTTTGACGTTTCAAAATGAAAACAATTTTAACCTATGTTTTAAAATATTAGTTAAGCTAATAAATGAACAAACATTAAATACTTACGTTTTAAAATATTAATGAAATTAATAAGTGAATAAATAATAAATGCCTACGCTTTAAAATATTAATTAAGTTAATAAGTCAATAAACAATAAATAATTATATAACGAAATTTACAAGTAAAAATATAAATAAATAAATAATTAAATGAACGAAGTACGTTCATTATTTTTTTCATTTATATAGTGCCCATATTTTCACATTTTTTTTACATTCAATTTCAAAATAGAATTACATTAATAATTATTTATCAAGACGTAAGTTAAAATTCTTTTCATTTTGTAGCGTTAAAATCCTGTCAAAATCTAGCAGCATCAATGTCAGATTGAGCATTGAAAAAAACAAAACATAAATTTGTCACTTGTTTTTCCAGGGGAAACTAACACAAGTCGGAGGTGGCCATGAATCATTGTCCCAAGCTGTACATTTCGGAATTTTTGCAAATTTTTTTGTTAACAATTATTGTTTTAAAAAATTGTCAAAGTTTGATATTAGATTTAATAATTGATATTATATATTAGATTTATTTTGCGGTTCTAGTGAATGAAATATTCTGAAAAAAATCAGAGTTATTAACAGAGGTACATTACGTACTATATAATTTTTCCAGCTTTTTTGGCTGCAGCACTGACTTATAAAAGATTCCATAATAATAATAATAAAATATTTATAATGTATTTCCATTAAAATTTTCGAATTGTAGAGCTAAGAGCGTATGGAAATGTAATTTGGAGGGTTGAAATTACCGGCCCAGGTTGTACTACAATTTTCGGTGGCGCAGAGTGTAACAAGTTCATTTTACTTGGATACTTGGATACAATTAATTTAGTCCTACTCCGGTGGACATTTAGCTGGCAACCAAACAACGTCGTGCCCTGAACCCCCGAGTTACTCAAATTGATTTACGGCCAGCCCTTCCGCGCCTTTTATCAAATTAATTAACGTTCACTTGAGGAAGATTGGATTTCTCACATTTTTTATTCAACAATTTATTTCTCGCTTTCAAGTGAGTCGAATTTTATAAAAAAATTCAGAGAGATCGTCAAAAAAGGGATACATACATGAGATTTTTTTATCTCTTTTTATTCATAAACAAAATTATTACAAATTGCCAATGTGAGATATCGTTATTATTGAATACAAGTTGTTTAGTCTTTTATATCTCCTACCTTAGTACATAGAATTTTACAAACAAATCAGAGAGATGATCTTATATAGAGTGTATTCATGATAATTTTTTCAAATTTTTCTATTCATAAACCTAATCGTATGATAGAGATCTTGATATAAAATATATGCAAGTGCGCAGGCGTGAAACGTAAGAGCACCTACATGCTGGTGTTCTGTACAGGGGTCTCAGAATTTATCCCTCGGCCGGAAAGTGGGGACGACGCGACCATGGTGGGGACTGGTACTTGATAGGTTCGCTTCGCGAAGGCACATGGGCCGGTATTCACAGTCCGTGCTTAAGAATAAGACCGTCTTAAGCAAATGCTTAAGTCGCCGGTCCGGACTTATTTGGGCGAATAAGCAAATGCTTGAGGCGACGTCTTAAGCATTTGCTTGACCAAGCAATTGCTCAGTTGGGAGGACTGTGCGCATGCGCAGTCGAATAAGCAAATGCTTATTCGAACAAGCAAATGCTTATTGGAATAAGAAATTCTTATTCGACCGAAGGAAGTGCTTATTGCTCGAAAAGTGAGGTTGGATTTTCAAGTCGAGGTTTTACTCGACTTAAGACCACACGGACAGGTCACGTACAGGGCGTGAGCATTAGTGTTAGTGAGCCGTCAAGCGTTTGGAAGTGTAGTTGTACGGAAAAAATGGATCTTGCGTCGAACGAAATACAAATTGAGTATATGGAAGACATCGAAAATGCTGAAAATATCGACGACGTTGAAGACAGCATCATGGACTTAATTAATAATCCGATCGTAAGGACGTATATCCGTGATAGGCAAAATCCATTTGAATATTACGATGGATTGGAATTTAAAAGACGGTACCGATTCACTAACGAATCGGTATTACATCGTATTTTACTGAAAATCCTTGACGAATTGAAGAAATTCAATAATCGTGGTCTGCCAATTCCGCGACAGTTGCAATTGTTCCTGTTTTTGTGATATTATGCAAGTGCAAGTTTTCAGGTAATTCATATTCTACTTTCATGTCTACAGTATTAAGAATTAACGAGTGTTTATTGAGGAAACCGTTTAAAAACTATTTACAGCCGGTGCTCGGACATCTCGCAGCCCACGATTTTCCGAATAGTCAGGCGTGTCAACAAGGATGAACAATATAGATGAAGTCCTTAGAAATCGAAAAGGATACTTCTCACTGAATGTGCAAGTACGTTTTCGTACATTTTTGTAGTACAACATTATGGTTGAGCAATTATATGATTGCATTCTTCAATTATAAACCTGTTACAGGCGGTTGTTGGGCCCAGAATGGCCAGGCAGTGCGAACTACTGCCGGATTTTCCAGAACTCTCGTCTCGAAATTGGATGGGATGCTGGTTGGTGACAGGGGATAACGCTGTTTGCCATTCTTATTGATCCCGATCACAGATGCCAGAACAAATGAAGGAATAACGTTAGTATCTTGTACGCTACAGTTAACAAGTTTTTGAGTTTGACAAAAGAATTGCATTCATTCATTGTTGTATACTTACAGGTATAATAATACCCATGCGAGAACTAGTCGAAGGCTAGTGACCAGTGCGAAGTATGCGCCATGCTGCACAACATCATATGCAGGGACATGTTGCCAGAAAATAACAAGGAGAAAACAGACAACTTGAAGTGCCAGTATGGAATATTCAAAGTCTTTAACCTTCGAGCGGCTTAGCTGCTCGAGAGGCGTTAATTGAACATTTCTTCAATTAAATGTACGTGTATAAATAAATTTGTAAATTTGTATACGTAAACGACTTTACTTATTGTACCTTATACTCCAGAATATTGCACTTTCTTGAGACATTCACGATCAATGTTTATAATAAATCTATCATAAAAACTGTATACATCGTTCAATTTTTAAATAATACTAATGAAGCGAGATATAATATAGTAAGAGATACGATAATAGGAGATATAACAAGATATTATATTATACGATAAGAAATAAAAGTACACGGGGAACTAGTGGTCGGAATGGAAAGTAAATTGTTTACTACATTCGTCATTTGAATATAATATATTTAAAATAATCATAAAATATAAGTAGATCCTTCGAGAATGCATTGTATACTTTGAAAGAAATCGTAATCAGCTTTCCCTTTGCGCAGCGTTTCATCAGTGTTTCGAAATCATAAATCGAAAAGCTGCATCCGCGAAACCATTCCTCATTGGCTGATACACTGGAAACTTTCCGGAGATTGCCGAAGGGAAATAAGCATTTGCTCAAGCATTTGCTTCGAATAAGCAAGCCTTCAGATGTCGCTTTTCGAATAAGCAAACCTTAAGTTCGGACTGTGAATACATGAGGTCTTGAGGCCACCTTATTCGAATAAGGCGAACTTGATCAAGCAATTGCTTGAGCAATTGCTTGAGCACGGACTGTGAATACCGACCATGAGGACAACAGTAGTGGGGATCGAAATACGGGCGAAAAAAAAGAGGGAAAGCGAGCCGTGCGGGATAAATTCTGAGACCCCTGGTTCGGTACTGTAGGTCTGTAGCGCTTTTGTCGCGTGTATGTACCGATCTCTTCTCAATTGTCCATGATAAATCATGGAGTTTGCACGTTTAGATGATATATTGTTTCAGTTTATTTGAGATATTAATTATAGTATACAGTTTATTCAGTATTTTTATTACTTTATCATATCCCGTAACTCTTTTACATTGATTGTGGACGCAGATACGCACATATGATGATCTAACCTATAAGAGACCACGTGAGCGAAATACGGTACGGCACTTATACAGGGTGTCCCAGAAAAAGTGTTTGAGCCGAAAATGGGTGATTCTTGAGGTGTTTCTGAACAACAATTTTCTTTGCCAAAATGCAAAGTGAGCCGTGGTTTTTGAATTATTAACGAAAAACACTGACCAATGGGAGCACACGTAGGGCCCGCGCCCAGCCACGGATAGATTGGCTCGTATGGTGGCGCTCGGCACATATACATACATATTATATACAGGGTGTACCAGAACTAATACTACGCCCGAAAATGGGGAGGAGTTGAAGTGATTTTAAATAATATTTTCCTTTGCAAAAAAGTTGTCCGAGGCGTGGTTGTTAAGTTATTAACAAAAGTCCCCAATCAATCAGAGATCTCGTATACAAGGAGGGCAGGAACGCAATAACCGCTTCGTGCGTTGCTATGGCCGTATGCCATGCTCATGACGAGAACATAGGATTAAAAGAAAACTTAGATGCAAGAACAACTAATGAGCAAGAGCAACACATGAAATCAAGGGTCCGTAGAATGAGCTTAAAGAAGGAATCCTATCACTTGAAAATGGATGATAGGACGAATATGCTTGAATATCTCTCACAGTAGCAGCAACTACTCTGCGTGAAGTTGGTGCCTAACCAAATGATAAACATATAACTTACACGTTATAATCAGGCCTCCCAGAGTGCTATGAAAATCTAAATATGGCACTTACAGACCTACCCGGTGAAAAATTTATATCAAAAGAAATGATAAGTACATTTTTAGCAAAGTAATTCAAGGATGTCACGAGCCCCGATGACGATATTACCTCAAAGCAAGCGCTCTATCTGAACAAGAAAACAAATGTGAGCAATCATAAACCAGATGCAAGTATGAGCAGTCACAGACCTTTCGCTATTAACAAGCCAAAGGAAATAGTTTGTTATAATAACACTCAACGTGCAACACTTAAGGATGTCTTGCTTATGCTCGTCTTCCGAAGCAAGGTATAAATAAACTCGATAATAAATCAGTAAAGTGTATATTCGTAGGATACGCAACAAAAACTCGTAGATACAGATTGTGGTATCCTAAAAGGCAAGATGTTGTTACAACAAAACATATTAGATTCGTGGATTGGCTTTGAGTGGATAATAAGATTAAAATTAAATATAAAAAATGAAACCACTGAATAGTTTATATTCTTTTCAATACATTATTTCCAACATAAACAGTTTAGTGGTGTAGTGAAAGTAATTGAATGCTCATTACTGTCTTCATTGAATATAAATATTTTTATGATATACTTAGGGTACATGATAGAGCGTCGTACGTTTTGTACAATGTACATGTTTTCCCTAAGGAATGTATAATATTTTCTATACGTCTTGTAATTGTACGCCGTCCGAAATTGTTGTCGAAGCGTGAAATGTTCACTTTCATTATGACAAAATAACGAATGACGAGCGACGATAAATGTTTACATCGTTCTACCAATCACCACATAATGGTTTCATTCCTTCAAAATGGCAAATGGTTCCCGGCAATGGTTAATCCCGCCCCATTGTATTAACTTCGATTGACGATTAACTTATCAGTCGCTCTCGAAGTTTTCCGCTGTCGGATTTCTTCCCCACTCGTTCCTTTTCCGCTGCCGGATTTTTGCCCCAATCTCGGTTCGCAGTTTTCGGACCCAGCAGGGCCCCCTGAACGATACCCAGCAATATTTTTTCTTACACGCTATTCCCTATATACCTTGCAGCTTGCACTACGGTACTGCTTCCCCGTTTTTTAGGGGCTGGGCGCCAAAATTCCGCTCACCGACTCTGAGCCGGATTCCGGCAGTCGGAAATCGCAATGGGAATAGGCCATTAGGCTGTTACTAACTCTTAACTGCTATATATATCTGGTATACAAGACACATTGCTTATCTTTACGGCAATGTTGAATGAAAATATATGTGTACATGCGACTGCCGCCATTATACGTGGCCAAGAATGAGAAAGTGGCAAAATTATGACGTCCAATTTATGGTCTTAAACAATCTGAAAGAAATTGAATAACTTCATCGTTAATATTAGATTTAAAAGAATGCAATCTTCATACATACACGAGTAGTGTAACTGGGAATGGCTTTACAAGGGCTAACGAAGGAGGACGGTATTATAAGTATTTAGACCAGTCAGTATTTCCAACACCAATAGTACCTTTATTCTTTCAAATGCTTCTATCTGCCGTCCTATTGTAATGACGACAGACAGCCAATAGCGGACACCGGACAGACAGCGATCAGTTCCTTGCTTGGAGCCTGCGCATTGGGTCACTCGCTCCACAGAAATCAAAGGGCCCCTTTGAGGCACCTAGCTTTTATATGCTTTGTCCTATACCTCGCAATTTCCACTTCGGCACTGCTTTTACCGTCTGCCGTCCACCTACCGTAAATGGAAATGACCCTTAAAGGATGTCGTAGGATCATGGTTGTATAAGTTGATGGTTTATTAATATTTTTGTAGGAAGAGTCATCAATTAAAACATTAGTCGACAAAATCTCAGTAAAATGTGAATCCAGTAATTTAGGCGAAATGAATCACGTTCTAGGTACAAGGATAGAACGCAAATGGAATATTGTATATTGCGTTATCAACAAAGAACCTATATAGAGGACCATAAATCCTGATCAGTAGAGATTAGTCTATTATTAGCGAGTTAGTTCGATTGAAAATGTTTTTAAAGTATAGCATGGTTTCAAGAGAGCTTTCACGTGATTATAACAAATTTCTTGTCAACTCTATTTTATGATTTTTCAAGGTCACCTTCAATTTTTAGCAAATAAACCTATAATTTCTTTACATCTGTCTGTTAGAGAATTTAAGATAAGTTCGGTAAGTATCATAACATAACTTTTACCTTTTACGCAATGTTCAAAAGGGTGTTCGTCAGCTGTAATGTACACGTGTAGACAGTGTAGCATACGATACTCTTTGTAATATTATAGTTCTTTTTAAGAATATTTCTTTAATCTTTTCTCGACCCAGAAAAAAGAAAGTAACACATATTATGTTATGATACGAAGCCATACTATATCTGATAAAACCCTGATAAAAACATTTGCGATCAGACTGCTAATAACAGAGTAATCTTTACTATGATTCATGGTTCATGTAGGGTCATTATTAAAAAAATTTGATATGACAGATTTCCGACCGGCTGCAACACTCTTGTTAAAGCCTGGATTGGTGAAATATGAAGGAGATGCAAAAGACTGATCAAGTGTAATGGGATGTGTTTCAACAAATAAGAACCCAGGTGATTTAATGACTAAAAGACTGAAACGAATAGTTCATGATATTTGTGTCCATACTATTGGATTTGATATCGGAAATTGGGAGAATGATAGAGATTCCGACATAAAATATTACATGTAAATGTGCAGGATGAAATAAAAGAGCACCTACGTGCTGGTGTTTTACAGCGCTTTTGTCGCGTGTACCGATCTCTTCTCGATCGCCCATGGTAGATCTTGCACGTTCAAATGATAATGATATACATATATTTGTGGCGTCACGGCCTCTCGCGCCGCATGCGTCAGCGACGCATAGTATGCATATCAACTAAATCGAAGTTATTATAGTATATGAATAAATATAAATGAAATAAAATATTTATATTATGAATTATATATATTGTTATGAGTTATATTAGATAGTTTAAAAATCAGAAGCTGTTTAACATTACTTTAGCAAGTAAGAATATTGCGATTATAGCAAGTCTGCTTATGGTACAAAATCGAGATCACGGTCGTGCTTCACTATAATCGTGGGTCGTGAACGTGATTTTATGATCACGGTGAAAACTCACGGTTTGCGATTTTGATCACTATCTCTAAATCAGAAGGAATCAGCGGCTTTTCCGCGGTTTATGTAGTCAAAATTGGCACATAGTGCTACCATGATGTTGGCTACGTTTTTTTCAGTAGACTAGCGGTCCATGTGCATATACAATTCGTTATTCAAGCAATCAAACTTACAACTACCTGGGATAGA